CCTAGCATAACTTTATTTTGTAAGTGTTTAACACTTCAGTCATCAGGAAGATCAACAGAAAACAAAGAATCCAAACTGAACTTTCTAAAGGTTTGTTCTTCTTCAAGTAGAAGCTTTGATTCTAAAGGGTTATCACCTGTGGCACACATGAACCTGACAAGATTAGGAAAACGGGATTTCAAGGCTAACTCTTATCTATTTCCATTATCTGAATCTTGCTATCTTTTGTAAATAAGATTTTTTCCCCACAAATAACTTACTTATAAAGCTTTTTGGGTAAGTAAGGAAAATACCATTATTACTTTACTGGGTGTCAGATGGGTTACTTAATAACAAAACCAAACTCTATTATCCAAGGTGGTTAGACCATAATCAGTTGCCTATCACTGGATTCTCCAGCAGATTTCACCACCTAAACAGTAAAGATGTTTCTTTTATTGTATTTTAAAAATACAGCTTTATATAGAAAAATCCCTTAAAGAAAAAATCGCTAAGTAAAAAACCCCCTAAAATTATTGAAGACCTGCATTGATCTTGTTCAATTCTCTGGAAGAACTGTGCCTCTCTCTTGCCACATCTCCTGCAGTCAAAATGCCACAAAACCACACTAAACATAGAGGTGTACTCAACAGCCTGAACTAGAGCAGCTAAGAGAATGGCTCAAGCAGAACAGGGAACCTGAACAAAATTGCAAGGTGGCCCAGCAGACTGATGAGAGGATATGAACGTGCAGAGGGAGTGGGATGACTGGTGGTGGTCAAGAAGAGTGTATGTTTGGAGGTGTGGACTGGTACTGAAATGAGTGGGATCTTTCTAGTTTACCCTCAAATGTACCTAAGTCCAGTACTCCTGTTAACAGAATATTTATGACATTTGCCAACACATAAAAACAACCACAGGTTTCTTCAGATTGACTCATTTAAAAAAAGAAACAAGCAACAGCAACATCCTTTATAACGACAGCTAATATTTAGAAGACAGAAATGTATCACACAACAGTTCTTAAGAGCAACAGCATTTTTCAGTGAGGTTATTCAAACTCACTATGTCTAAATTATAAGAGGTTTTCTTCAGAGCAATTAGCCCTGCAATTTCAGCTGAGCATTTGAAGTCTTGAGTACACAGGGAAATTGGCCCAAACAACTCTTATGTACTAGTCCCCACTAGTAATAAAGGCTCTGAAGGCCAAAGGAAGGCATTAGCAACACTTGTGCAACTCCCTTAACAGGGTGTACACATGTAACTAATTGGAAACCAGTAAACAATTCTGGTATTGAAGCACAAAGCAGATAATCTCACTCACACTACTTCAGTCATTTTCTTCTCATGTGGCTGACTGGAATAAAACTGCTAAAATACTGTTTCCCTCATGCAGAAAAAGATCTAGGGGATATAATAGATCACAAGCTGATTAGGAGTCAACAGTGTCAAGCCATTGTGAAAAAGGCAAACACTGCACTAAGCTGTGCAAACAGGAGTATGGCTTGCAAGACATGGGAAGTAATCCTGCTCTGCCCAGCACTGGTACAGCCCCAGCGGGAACACCGGCTCTGGGTCTCATTCTGCAGCAGAGATGCAAAGCGCCCAGAAAGAGTCCTGGAGAGAGCGATGAGAATAAACAAGAGGGCTAAAGCATGGCCAGCAAGGAAGGACTGAATGAATCAGATGTGCGTAACCTAAACAAGAGAGCAGGGTGGGAGGGAAACGTAACAACAGTTTGCAAATACATAAATTGTGGCTGTGGGAGAGGAAGGGAATGACTTGTTTTCTGTGTGCGGGGTGGATAAGGAATAGCAGCTTTGGGATGGAGTTTGAAAGCCCTGTAAGGCAAAGAAAGGGTTAACATGGGCATTAGCAAGAAAGCAGCTGAGAAGGGACACAGCTGCAGGGGATAAAAACACTCGGGAGAGGGCTATCAGGGGACCCCTTAAGGAGGGGCTGAGGGAGCCTCTCAGGGCAGAGATACAGGCTTAAGGGATGTTGGGCTGTGTCCTTTATAAGAGACTGAGTCTTATCTTTGGCAGGTTACTGACCTCCTCCTTTGTATTTACTCTGTGTTTGGCTATGAAAGGGCTATTTTTTTCTTTTTTTTTTTTTTTTTTTTTATTTTTTAGGCCTGCAAAAAGGCAGGATAGGGTGCTAAGGTTTTGGGGTGTTGTTTGTGGGTTGTTTTGTTTTGTTTTTTAATAGCCCAGCAAAACTTTTCACATCTGGCCTGAAGTGTGGTCAAAATGCTGAATCAACTAAGGTAGGAGAAAAGGGGGATCATTTTTGCCTAAGGGAAAATATTTAAACTCCTGTTACTAACAGAGGATTCAAACTGAGGAACTGTATCTTGGCAGCTGAAGACTTTAGTCTATGGAGGGAGAGAGATAGCAAGATGCTTCTGTATAAAAGGGAAAAGTTATGTAATAGGCTCAGCCTCAACAGTTCTGAAACCAGGGAGATGACAGGTGTCTGGATTTTTTTGCTTGGGGGAGAAGATTTAGCCTGAAAAATTTGAGGGGGGGCCTTGGAAATCACAGCAAGATCTATGTTAGGTATTAAGAAATTATTTCTAACGGTAAAGATAGTGAGGACTGTAATAAATTGTCTGAGGAAGGCCTCTGAGAATAAACTAGTAGGTATTTGTCAAGCATGACAAAGTTGATCTTGGCTCAGGATGGTAGGACTATCAGATGAGCTTCCAAAGTCCCATTCTGCCCTACAGTACTATAATGAGAAATATTGCATCCCTCTTTTTCTTGCCACTCGGCTGTGACATTTTATGAAAATAAGGGAGCATTTCTGGAAGCTCAAAGCATTCTTTGAATAGAAGTGGTTTCAAAACTAGCTCTAAGCTGAATATTTTACCTACTGTGTTGAATGATCCTTTCAGCATGGTGTGTTCTAGAAATACTTCAGTACTGAAGCCTGTAAGTTCAGTGACAAATATGTTAGAAGAAAATTTTATACTCATTCTGTCTTTCCATTAAAGATACAACTAAATTTAAGTTGCCTATAAAACTAGAACCAAAACCGAGATTTGTTTTTAAGGACATTCTTTTACCCCTCAGTTACAATTTGACCTCTTCAAAAAGAAGCTAATCCCAAGACTACTTGGTCTAAATAACCCTAGCAATACCTTACACAAGCAGTCCTTTTTAAACTTTTTTAAAACTCTCAGTGAAAACAGTTGAGATATGTCCTCAGAAGTCAATAGGTCTAAGTTGTCCATCCTATAACTAGTCTGTGTCATTTCTCAAATGGGAGATAAATGTAAGGAAAGCAAAACAACTTTCTAGATACTACATCTTTCCAACAAAATGAGGAAAATTTCTATTTGATAGCTACAGCCTCCAGAATTTGCAAGTTTTAGGTTCACAGTAATGATCTTCAAGAGATTGTTTTATCAGAAATAAAAGCTAAAAACTAGTATGATGAGAAATGTCTTTGGTTCTGTAATGCTTTTAGCTGTAAGAACTGCCTTGTGTGCTCTTCCCTACCATGCTGAAAAATCTCTGAAGTAGAGCAACTGGAAGTACAAGTAGGACCAAACAGTTTTTGCGTGCTTCTAAATGAGTTTGTCATGACAGCATTAGATCTCTTTCCATCCTGACCCACATGAAAGAGGAATAGGCACTGAAACAATGGACTATATTTTGAAAACTATTTAGTTGCCCAAGAACACAGAAATGCCTGCTAGATTTTCAAAAGCCAGTAGGTAATGACTCTCACAATGGAAGCTGGATGCCTAGGTTGTGCTGAAAATTTCTCTAGTTTTTGCATGTTTGTGGGCCTTTAAAAGTCTGTCCAAAATCTCCCCAAATGAAAATCACATTTTAAGTAGATGTTTGTATTTAATTACCCTCTGTGGTCAGCTACAGAATATAACTTAGAAAACATTTCTGGTGGTTTTGATTGGTTCTCTGTTTTCCTCAGAGAAGGAAGCATGGGCTTTGCTCTGCATTTTCTAGCCTGCTTCGCATAATGAGGCCTTGGTCCCTGACTAGGACTTTTGTTTGGTTCAGCACGAGTAAAGCAATACTCTGCTACACTTTCTTAGATAAAGCAAGGCATGCAGGCAACATAAAAGTGCTAGCAGCCTTCGTCGCCAGAAAAAGAAATGATCATATTTAGCAGTGCTGTTCACAGAGAGATTAAACTCAGGCTGGATGGAGAGAAGCTGTGTAGATAATTTGAAATAGATTCCGAGGGTGAATTACTGCTTGGCTGTCTTCCTCACCTCCTCAGTTCTCAGATTTGTGTGCCAACAAACATTTTAAGATAACTCTGCTCTGTTTGCTCCTTGAATTGTCTAGCTGTTTTACAGGCTCTTCAGATAAACAAGGGATAATCTCAGGATTTTGGTCAACAAAGATTGCTTTGTGCAAATTTTAAAAATTCTGAATAGGTTGTTGTATAGGGCCTGGTCTTGCTATCCCTTTTAGTTGTGAATACTTTCAAGGGAGTAAGTGGTTGCACAATCATAGTTTCAGTAAGTAAATTATCAATAATGGTATCATTACCACCAACAAGTATTTTCCCACTCTAAAAAGCTGTTAAAAAATAAAAAAGGCACTGGTAGCATGGAACAGACCAGTCTTGATCAAGAAAAGTGTGGACTGGAGAGATACAAGTACAGAAAAAAAAAAACAACAACAAAAAAAAAAAAACCACCAAACTATTGAGAACAGGTGGGAGACTGCAGGCACCATTAATTTAAGAAAGTAGCACCTCCACAGACAGGACCTTCAGCTCTGCCACGGCCTGACCCGCACGCCCCGAGCCAGGGGGGGCCGCGCCGGAGGCGATACCGCACAGACAGCGGGGAGCGACGATTTAAAACATTAAACCGGCCGGGAGCGGCCCCGGCCCCGCCGCCCGCCCCTCAGCGCCTCGCTGCCCGCCGCCGCCCTAGACTGTCGCGCGGCGCAGCGGCGGCGCTTCCGGCCTTTCCAGCCGCCGTTATCGCTCGTTGTTCCTCCCGCTGGGCTTTCCCCGCGCGGGGGGTGGGGGGGGCGGGAGGGGAGCGGGGCCGGTCCTGAAGAGAAAACCGGGTCGGGGGGTGGGGGGCAGCGGCTGGCAGCACCCCTCCGCCGCCTGGACTGAGCGCGCCCCCCCCCCCCCCCCCCCCGCTGAGGGTCGGAGGCGGCCATGGCGGAGGCGGGGGGAGCTAGCGGCAGCCCCGCCGCTGCCCGCCGCCCTCCGGGGCCTCGGCAGGCGCCGGCCCCCCCCGTGCAGGTGGTACGTGTGGGGCGGGCGGCGGGCCGGGGCTCTGGGGAAGGAGCGGCCTCCTGAGCGGCCGTGGCCGCCAGCCGGGCTCCTGCCGCGCTGTGGGCGCTGCCGAGGGAGGGAAGCGGCGGGGGTTTCCAGGAGGGGCTTTTGGCCTTGGTTTTGTGAGGGCCGGCCATATAGAATGGCAAGCTGGGCACTTTTGCTTACATGGAGTTTGAAAACAGGAGTTTTCAATTTTTTTTTGCAGTGCGCTTCGTTCTTTTTGTTACGCCCAGTAACAATGTTGGGCTGTGTTTAAATTAGTTTTACAAATTTACACACGTACAACTGATTTTTAGCGACAGTTTTAGTGAGGCAAACGTTTGAAAAGCAAAACCATACAAATCAATGGGCAAGTAAAAATGATGAAAAACTTCCCAGAGTCTCAGATTCTAAAGGCAGGTCAAAGATTGTGGCCTGAAAATCTCTGGGTTTTCTTAAAGTATCCCATATATGAGATTTGACAAAACTAGTACGTTTCTGCCAAGAGCCACGAGTTTCTAAATGGTTTGGAATAATGACACACATGAAAACTCAATTTAAAAATAACACTTTCTGACTGATAAAATCTTCAGCCATGTTAAAATGATTTTATTTTTTGCATTCAGATAAGGAGGTAGGTGGGGGTCTACTTAAGCTGAAATTTGCGGAAACAGAAAAGTTTTCACTGTGGAGTTGTTTATCATGTATATTCTTATATTCTTAGTAGAGGATGATGGCGGTAACGCCAGAAACCGGACATTTCTTGGATGCAAAACATTCAGTTGAACAGTTTCTGACACCTTTTTTTTTTTAAACCTCACGTTTCTCCATTTCAATTGTGTGATTGATGTATTGTTTTTCAGTGCACTAGCTAGGGGGAAGGGAGTTTTTTGGTTGAGTAATACATTTATAGACTATCTGTTAACTATTTTGCAGTGTGCCTTCAGCTTAGTGATGGCAAAACTACATTAGTAAAAATACCTAAAATTGCTTCAGGTCTTACTGAGGAATGTGTGAAGTTCAGGGAAAACCAGGTAGTGCCACAATGCTCAAATCCAGATCTGTTTCATAGTTCTGTATTTTAGCTGTTGTACTTGACTCATAGGCCATGAAAATGCTCCTCTGTTGGATTCTGCTATAAATCGGTCTCAGTTAATGAAATGAGAATTCAGACTCAGTTGCCACTCACCTGATCTTGTAATGACAAAAATACATTAATTGTTTGCAATTTATGTCCCTGTGTTGACTCAAAATAACTTTGAAAGAGCTTTATGCATATTTCTGTAGCTCACTATTATGGTAGCAGTCTTCAAATATAAGAAAAGATACTGCAAAAAAACCTTGAATAATAATCTGTGCTGGGATTGGGAAGTAGTAGCTGGCATAAACTGCAGCAAAAGGACTTCAGACATTGGGAAAACTGTATTCCATGTCTCCCTTATGCCTGCTTTTAGAGATTGCCTTAGCAAGGTTGGTGTTTCTGTCTCTGGAGATGATAGTTTGGCAGCAGTGCTGTAGCTGTAGTTGATGTTGTTTTGGGACAGAAGAAATAAACACAGTCTCTTGACATTACTACCTCCTGGGTTTTTTACTATGAATCTGCATCTATAAGTGAAACAGTGCCCTGGTTCATGTTTTTCCCCTCTTTAAATGAACCGAGTAGATTAAAGTGTTCTGATATAGTCATACGATGCTAAAGGCCAATTTATGAATGCCTAGTCCAGGACAAGTACCAACTGCATCTTTTAAGCCATACTACAAATGTACAAATTAATTAGGAAAACATGAAAGTTTAGCTCTGTGGTGTTTTTAATTTATATTTGGCTTAAAAGAAAGAAATTAAACACAGAAAAACAGTAAACTGAGTAAGAATTGTAGAACCTAAAGAACCTTTAGTATGCAGTGTTAGCAGTACTCTGGTATTCTTATAGGGCTGTGTACAGTTATTTATATGGATTTGTTAATTTTTCAGGTTTTGCACAGAAGTGTCATCAGCAATTCGGCTCTGTACCGTGTTTTGGCAGGCATCTAGCTCAACACTGTTGTGATAGTTCTGTGGAAGTAGAATTTACAGTAATGTGTGTAGGAGCATGCTAATATATTATGAGTTATGATGCTGAGTTCAGAGTACCTTAGTGCCATCAGGTATTTAGGGATTGTTTTGTATGTGCTGCCATTAGAGTACTGTTTTTTCTGTTTTCGGTTCAAACTAAACAGAGAGGTCTAAACATAATCTTGATATTTTGTACTGCTGGCCTGACTTAAGACAGGAGTTCATGATAAAAAAAAGCAAAGAAGTTCCAATTTTACAGTTTTTAAGCCAGTATCAAGCTACTTTGTGATGTCATAGTCAAAGTTTTACTGAGTTAATTAGCAAACAGATTGGAAAATTACTCATTTCTCTGGATGTGCAAAACTGTAGCTAGTTTATATTGTCATTGGAAGAATTGTAGAACCCTTTTCTTTCTGAATGAATGTGTTAGATTGATTAGTATGAATGTATAGAGTTATGTTTTAATTGCCATCTAGACATAAAGGATATTAAAATCCTGAGTAAATTGAATATATTGGTTTAGAATCTCAGATTCTTGCTTATTTTTTTAGTCTTAAAGTACTGATCTGAGACAGTTCTGAAATAATATTTTTTGTCTGTATGTTGTAATTATTTGGTAATCAATTTCACTTTTTTTTTATTTTATTTTTCCTTATTTTACTTATTTATCTTTCCTAAACAGAAGTCAAAAAGACCTGCTTTGCTTAAAATTTTAGATAGCTTTCCTCCTACTTCTTTTAAGTACCTCTTTCTCCTGTTAGAGCATCCTCCCAAAAATCATGATGTTCATTTATTTTAGGCAAGTGTAGTTTGTTTTATTTTGCTGTGAAATGTTGTTAAATTTCTTTTGGTTTGTCATTGGACCATACATCATATTCTGTAATACCTGCATGTACATACATCATACTCGATAAAAAACCAAAAATACACTCCTCAATGTCCACAAAATCTGCCAACTAATGTATGCATTTGCATGGATTTGCACAATGTACATGTACTCACGTCACTACATCTTGAATAATTAAATTTCAGTATCTTCTAGTATTTTCTTTCTAAAGATTTTCACATGCTCACAATAGGAACTAATCCTCTGTTTCTTCAAATGATGTGTTTATGGTTCCACCATACTATAAGGAGTTTGAGTTCTGTTTCTGGGAACTTCTTTAAATGTCCCATGAGACTTTTTACAAGTCACTTAGGCTCTTTGCCTTAAGTTCCCCATCTGTAAGGGATCTTAACAGGTACATTTGGACTCTCCCTTTACTAGCGGCCAGTGTATTACTGTGCTAATTTTTTAGGACTTTGCATTCTGTGAATGGAATACTGAAAGAATTGGGGGCGTGGGGGTGTTGGCTTTTTGGGGGTAATTAGAACAGTAGTGAGTAACTGCACAGCGAGATCCCTTATCTCTGTTTTTTAACAAATTTTAAAATATTCCAGATAAGTTTTCATGCTTTGACTGTATGTGGCTGAACTAACAGAGGTTAGAATAGGAAAGCCTGCACTTGAAATGGTAGACTATGGAACTATGCCATATGTCACCTTCTAATGTGCTTAACAGCAGTTTTAGAAGGAATAATTTTTTAAAACTTGGCTAGAGCTCAATGGGACAGGCTGCGTATAAGAACATCTCCAATTAGGTATCAAGCTTAAAGTAAAATTGAGGAGTAGGATACATTAATGTAAGACTGAAGTAAAGAGGAAGAAATGCAACAGGTTAGTGTGGCATTCTAGATGTTTTATTAGCATTTTTGGTTCAGTATTCTCTTGTTTCCTTGGAGGTCTACCAAAAGCCATCTTGTAGAACTCAAAAACTGAAAAAGCAGTTTGATAGAGAAGAAGGTAAATCTTATATTTATAATTAAATTAAGGGAACTTAGCCTATTTTTATATTTTTAAGATTCATTTTTTTCTGAAAGTTTCAGAAAGATCTGGCACTTCCTCCTTTTCATGAATATTCTTCTACTGTAAGTAAACGAAAATAGTGCTTATTGACATACATTTGGATTTTTGTTTTGTTATTTTTTTTTTTCTAGTCTGTCATTGTGCCTGTTCACAATAGCGAATGCTGGTTAGATGAATGCTTGAAGTCAGTTTGGGAACAAGATTTTAAAGAAACCATGGAGCTGTCAGTTTTTAATGATGCCAGTAAGGTATGTTTCAGGCCTTATTTGAAATAATGTCCGAGTAAATAATGTCTCTGATAGGAACTTCTGTTTTGGACTGTATTTGGTTCACCATACAAGTTAAAATAGCTGCATCTATGTCATCATTTTTCTAGGATGGTTCAGCTGAAATCATTGAAAAATGGAAGATCAAGTTGGAAGATGCTGGTGTTCCAGTAATCATTGGTAGTAGCGATTCATCTGAGCCTCGAGGTGGTATGTAGCTTAATAACAATTTTTTGAGAGTTGGGTTGTTATTGCAGGCATCTTCTGTTTTTTACGTTTTAAAGCCTCTTTGTGGCCCCTTGCATTGCAATGGGAAAAAGGCACACTATTTTCCAGAGCTCGCTGTTCAAAAACTCATTCTGGTTTAGAATTTGGCCCTGTTGGTTTTGGCTCTGTAGAATTTGTTTATATGTCCAGGAAAGAAGAACTTGGCTTAACACTTGTGTTCTACTCAGCAAAAGAATTTTGTTTAATTGTAATATACACAGTGTTGTTAATGCTTACACTTTTACTGAGGCTTTCTTCTATCTGATTTATCTTTAGGAGATGGGTTTTAAGAAAAAATAAATCAAAAATTTCTTATGTAATGATTTAAAAAGCAAATGCATATCTTTCAGTCTTGTATAATAGACCCTGAAATAGAACAAAATGCATTTTTGATGTCCCTGAGTATTTACACAAGGGGCTAAACCAGTAAGTTTAGTGAGCTACCAGGTAGTTGTATGGTGTGATTCCTTATTGATTTATGTGCTAATATGAATTACCCACTGGAGGAGATAACAAACAAATCTCTCTATCAGTTTTTCCTTTGCTTGTTTTGGTTGTTTTACATTTAGGGTTTTTTAGTGGACAAGCTTGCTAAAATGTGAACTAGAAATGGAAGTGTATTGCTCTTTGAAGAAGCTGGTGTTGAATGGCATTGAAAGGGGAAGATCATGTCTGTGTTCTGAAGGAGAACTACAGGACAAAGCAGGCAGAGCAGTGTGCTCACATTTTGTATGGGAGCTGTATAACTAATCTTTCTATCATTCTGGATTTTGTGGCGATGAGTAGACAGGTAGGAATTGATATCAAACTGGTTCCAAATTTATGGCTTTCCAGTTATGTCCCTTAAAAGATACACTTGGAAACACTGTAACACGAAATCCTGTCAGTTTCTTTTTTTTTTTTTTTTTAACAAAATATCCTGTTTGTAGCAGGAAAGGAACCTAGGCTTACTACTGTCTCCTCAAAACAGTCTTACTATGAAAAGGCCAGTTCTGTTTCAGAAGGCTTAATTTTCATCCCTGTGTTGAAACATGCAAATAAATAGGATTTTGTGCACTGAATTAATCTGCAACTTGGTATAGGCCCTTGGCTTTATTTCTTGTAATTTCTTTTGAATATAGACTTCTTTAAAGCTGTTTTTTAAACAGTTGTCAGACCTAGCAATACTGAAGTAACACAGCATAACTGTTACAGTAAATACTTTTAGTATCTTAATATCTCTAGCATGAACTGGTGTTGTTTTGACAGTGCAACTTGTAATATTGGCATTATCGAGCTGGTGATGACAAGAGACAGACAAGGTTTGTAGAGGGAATTAGTCTCTTTTGGGCAATTGATAAAGCTGGAGTTGAGCAATGTCAAAAATTGCGTGTATTCCTGGAAATTTATCTATCTTTTTTCCTTATTCAACTACTGGATGATCAGTCTTCTTTAAAGTCTTATTTCTCTTAGTAGTTGATGCTCTAGAAGCTACACAGGTTGTGATTTCTCAGGAAAAAAGTCAAATAATAATACCAGAAGTTGTTAATTATGGTACCTAGGAAAGCTTAGTAATGTTTTTGTTAATATTAACTTGTTATATCATATATGTTTTTGTTAATATTAACTTGTTATATCATATATTTTCCATTTTTATAAAAAATTTTCTATGTATAAAGTCTTGTTCCTAATGGAATGTTGTATTAATTGTGCATGTAAACTAGTTTTTAGTTTGCAAAAGCATACAAGTGCAATGTATGGAAAATAATTTATGTTAACATTCTGAACTCAGCTCACCATTTTAGGAAACTGGCACTAAAACTAAGTTCGAGTTGTGAAATACAAGAAGTATTTTGTGCCATTAGAGAAATGCATGTTAAAACAAAAATTAATGTGACATATGCCAGTGTTGGGATAGCTGAAACCTGAACAAATGTTTAATAAATTGGTAGTGGGGGATGCAGCTGTGAGCATTGTTTTAAATAATAGTATGAAATGCATAGTTGTTTAAAAAACAAACAAACAAACAAAAAACCCCAAACCAAAATACAAAACCAAGCTTATTCATGTGGAAGTCACTCTCAGGTCACCATTAAAATGAGGACATCTTTTCTTCGTGGTTGTTACATTATAGGAGCAGGTTACTTGAAATCCATAGTATTTGTTTGCTTTCAGTGATTTACTTTTATTATGTTAAGGACTAGTTACAACTGTAAGGAGTCTTTCCTTTAAAAGAAGATGCTTTAGTACAGAAACAATGTACTAGTCAGGCTTCACATCTTCAACTATTTACACAAGATTAGGATTTATTTCTGATTCTTTTCTAACATGTAAAAGAAGGGGGGGAGAACCTAGAAAAAAAGAAAGGGTCACTAGCCTAAAAAAAGGAAACCTTTTTCTTTCCAAGAGTGAGGAATGTTAATATCTCACTGAGGCTTAAGTTTTTACGGCTGTAACCATGGTAACAGGCCCTTTTCAGCAAGTAAGCAGGCCTTACAAAACTCAGAAACCTGGCACAAACATTTGATTTTGTTCAGTAGAGTAATATTAAAGAAAATTTTATTCATGCCAAATACAGGATTTGTTGTGGTGAAACTATTTTTAATATCTAGTTTCTTCTACAGGGAGTTACATCTCTCTTATTAATAATTTAAAAAAATATGTGTATTTTCTCCCCTCAAAAAATATAGCTGGTATATGAAAAACTTCAGGATGGTTTCTGTCTTAATCTTTGAAAGGAAGATTTTCTAACTTTTTCTCATGACAAATATTAAATATTTATTTTAAGCATTTTATTTGAAAATGAGATATGAGATATTTCAAAAGGTTCATAGAGTAATATATTTGTCATTTTGTAGTTGCCTTTGAGTCTCCTTCACTTTTTTTCTACATTATAGATTCCTAGTATTTAATTATATTCCATTGAAAGTTGTTGAAATGTTGGCGGTGTGCTAATGACAGCATTGAAATGTAAGTACAGGCTGCTTTACATCTGGTAAGGATGTATGAGAGCACTGATTGGCTTGGTGTTGGGCAAATTTAGTTCCATCCTGTTCTTTTACCTCCTGCTTTAGTAGGGACCTCCACCGTATTAGGACTTTGCTTGTTTGGCATGTCCAGACCTGCTAACTTGCATTGGTTGTTTCCCACTAAAACTGCTCATGCCAAGATTCAGCTCTGCCGTTGTGGTAGCTACTGACTTTGCCAGCTGCTTTTTTACTGCCAACAGGAAGGAGAAAGAGAGTAATTATATATATGAGATTAGATATTCTTATATGTATAAAAAGTAATATGTAAATATACTATAAGATAATAAGTCCAAGAAATCCATGATGAGAAGTTAAGGTGAGGATTAAAATACTCAAAATACATAAGAAAAGAATAACACAATTATAAGAAAAGCCTTTATTACTGGTGTTCTATTGGTAGTTGACATAATGTTCCTTTGAGGCAGTAGGAAATGCAGTCATAAGTCTTTTTCCGTACTTGGACAGGTCAGCGAAATAGCCAAGGAGCATGTGCTAAGTGAACCTTTGAGACTAGTTAAATTTGTTTCCTGATCAAACTTAAACTTGTATCCCATAGAAAGATTAGAGAATTACAGAAGTCTGCTTTTTTCAAATACTAAATCAGGAACTTTAGGGGTAATATTATTTGAAATTATCCTGATCCACTTCATGGTGATATTTTCTGGCTTTACACTTCCAGTTTTTCTATTAAAGAATAAAAACCCCATGGTATTGCATATCTTGACATCACTTGGTTTGCATGTCAGGGTAATCCTTTGCTGGATTCCCTGATTTGGTTCCATAAATACTTTAAACAAAGCTTAAATATTATGTATATGACCAAGTGGAATTCATATAGCATTTTTCAGAATAATACTGGGCATAGCATGGTCTCTTCTTATAATGATGCCCAGGAGAATAATTCAAAGACTCTAATGTTCTTAGTTAGACCTTGTCTACACATAAAATTATCCCAGGTAAACACTCCTACCTTGCCGATGTATTTCAGTGGTAAGCTGAGTTTATCCTAATGCTGGTTGCTGCAGTCCCATCCTCACCCTTGGCTGTGTATTCTGGCTCCCCCCCTTTTTTTCTGACTGCCATTTGTTTGACCTTCCAGTGCTGGCATCTGCTTCAGCAATTAAGCTGACAAAAAAGTTTTCTTTTGGTTCAACTTCCTGAAAGAGCTTGGTAAAAGATACAACTATCAGGGAGTCAGAAACTAAAAGACCCTAGATGCCAATGTTGTCATTTGACTGAATTTATATTTCAATGTGGTCTTCCATAGATGGTATAACATGACATGGTATAAGTAAGCCAGGTTTGTGCTCCTTGTACCTATGTTATTCTGCTTTGGTTCCCCTCTGCATTACATGTGCCATTATATAAATGGTACATAAAGTTTTTATATTTGTACACTTTATATTTAGCAAGCATAATGGAACAGAACTTTTTTTTGAGTCCTCCTGAGGACCTGGCCCTCTGATGGGAAGAACAAGTTGCCTAGCAATCTCTTGTTCTTTCTTTGCCTTTTTATGTTTTGTTACTATTTGTTATGACTTGAGATGGATATGTATATACAGCCAAGGGTTTTCAGCATCTGCTTATTGCAGGGGGGTTGGACTAGATGACCTTTAAAAGTCCCTTCCAACCCGAACCATTCTGTGAGTCTATGATCTGAAGTACTGGATGTGAAACCTAGGTAGCTGAACTCTTCAAGATGTGTATTACATATTATGTCTTTGTGGAGGGCTAGCAGAAGTAGTCTAATTCTACTTGGTGGCAGAATTGTAACGCATACAACTCATAATCACTTGGAGAAGGCGACTGAAATAGGCATCCTATTTAAATATTTACACATTATTTTAAATATGGAAAAATTGCATACTTTACCTGATACTGATTTTCATATTTCATTTCATCTGTTCCTGACTGTAATAAGATTTTAAAAATACAAAGGTAAAAACTGCCACATAATTTCATCTTTGTTTTCTCAACAGTTGGATTTGCTAAAAATCAAGCAGTGATTCAGAGCTCAGGTACCTATCTCTGCTTTCTGGATTCGGTAAGTTAATGCATTTTGTCTAACTTAGTTTTGTCAATAAAATTCTTTTGTTTTTAATGTAGTTTTTGGTTTACCCTTAAAGACAAGCTGTTTAAAGGTGTTTGGGTGTTAAATGTGCTGGCTACTATTTATAGTTGTAAAGTTGTCTGCCAACCTGTAGAAAGCCTACAGTCTTACACCATTCTTTGATCCTATCAGATTTCACAAGCTATTGTGAGCAGGGTTGGACAAGGCTGGTATTTAGTTGTTTTCAGGATTTTTCTTTCCACATTCTTCAGAAAATTATATTGATGAGAAACTAAGAGCTAATCCACTGGCTTTTTGATGCAAAATAGGAGAGGTCTCACCTTCCATCTTTAAATTTTTTTTCCTGTCCTTTGTTGGATACCTTCTGTGCACCCATTCAGCTCACTAACCCACAGATAGCTATCTGACTTTATGCAGCTTAATATGCAGTGAAGGGTTTCACAAATGTGCATAGCTGATCGGAGGAATGGTGCCATGTGGCTAGGATCAGGCAAGAAGAGCAGGACCTTTAAGGCTCACTGATCTCATGTAATTTCACCTGAAGATTGATTCTTTCCTCTGAATTGGAATTGAACTATGGTTTAGTGTAGTACTAAGGTGAACTGGCTGCTGGAAGTGTAGGTTTTCAGGTAAGATTCAACTTAATGTTATCATTGTGCTTATTAAAAGGTGTCATGAGAGCAGGGATGTAAACTCTGCAGCTTTATAACCACACAGGTTTTAATTTGGGTAATCTTTCAGTTTGCAAACTCCATTTGTTGTTTCAACTACATGGAAAGATTTTTTTGTTTGTGTGTCAAAATTTTGTGAATGAATTAGTTTACTGTTGCAAGACATGGTTAAGTGCTGGTATGTTTCTTCTGACTCAAGGCAATGCAGCAGAAGCTTCTTGTCTTACTATTTAAGAAATTAAGTTTTGCAGGTGGCTTTCCTGGCCTTTATTCAAGCTTTTATTAAGCTATTACTGTATTTAGCAATATAGTGTGTCCTTTTAAATGAGTTTATTTGAATATATCCTAGTTTCCATTTAACAGTTTTTTGGTTTGGGCTTTTTGTTTATTTGTTTTATCAATTATATTTCATGTAAATCTTTGTATATAAGCTTATGGAGGGTGAAGATTTGAAAAGCAGTATCTGATACATATGGGTATATATGGGTATTTTAGAAACAAAATTTTGAACATCCTTTGAATATACAGAATTCACAATCACATATACAAAGTAATGGTGCTTGGAAAGGTCAGTTTACCATACATCAGACAATAAGTATTTCATATCCAGCACTGAGCATCAGTGTCTGTTTCGTAAAGAAATCATTTTGAGGCAGCATGAGCACAAAAGCCACTGCTCTGTTTTTGATCACCTGATTCACCAGATTTTGAAAGAGTGTAGGGACATCATAAATTATGCCATGAAGTAATTGGGGTTTTGCCAGTTTTGCTGAGATGCATGAACTTGGGATGCAGTTCTTTTGGCTTTACTTCAGGTAGACACAAACCTAAGTGCCATTTAATGTATATGAATGGTTCTGTGGATTTAACTGTCCTATATTGTGAGTCAGTGTGGCTGTTCACACATCTAAAATTAAAAAAAATTAGAACTTATTTATGATTTGCAAAGTTCAAGTATTCCAGGCTTGGACAGATACCACATTGTATGGGGCATTCTAGGGAGGATGTAGGATAAGTTATGTATGTACTTACACTGCCTGAAGTTAGCTGAGTTACGTGTGAGTGAGAAATTAACCTGCTATTCTCTAGTTCCATGGAACTTCGTGTCTTCTGTTTCAAATCTGTATAGAATAATTTACTGAGGTCAGTTTTGGATTAGTCTTTCTTTTCAATCTAAACAGACCTAGTTTGTTTGTAAATCACTTGCAGTAAACTAGGAAATTTTAAAAATTAAGTTAATTAATATTTTTATAGAGATATTTTCAGAATTCTTAATTTGTTATTTACCTTATGGTGTTTATACAGTATGCATCTTCATGCTGCTGTGGTGTTTCTGTTTGCTGTCTAGCTGAGCAGGATAAGAAAACATCAGGGGAACAAATTACAACTATTAAAGAATGTAACAGGTGATGATTTTGTATTTCTGCAATATTATCATTAGCATAAGTTTATATTTAATATAATGAAGACCTACTCGAAGTGATTTGAGAATTTCATAACTTACATTGTGGATAAACTTGGAAGAAGACACCAAGATTTTCTGTTTTATGCATTTCTATTCCTGATATTGAGCTAGATGCTTCAAAATAGAAGGCATTCTGAACTGTCAGAAGCCTAATCTTGATACAAAAGAAATATTAAATGATTGGTGTTAACTCAATTGTATTTTCTACTGTCTCTCTTTGACTACCATTTTTTGCTGTAAACAGATTGGAGGAAATAAAATTAATGTGGAAACTGCTGCAAGTCTAAAAATTGCTCAATATTTTGGCTGTAGTTAGTAAATGTTGTGTGATAATAGCTGAAACACAGATGTTGCCAGCTGTTTAACAACTCCGCTTCTGCACTCCACCTACCTTCTTCATTTCAGTCACCAATCCAGTATCAAGCTCTCTAGGAAGGAATGTTGATATCAGCCTTTTGGAATGTGCTGCAGTAATGCCAGGGAATTGACCTTCAGAAGTGCAGCCATAATTTCAGGTTTGTTATAGGTGAATGTGGAGAGAAATGGGGCTGGGTCAGCAGTTTGTGTACATTTCATATAGGTGGAAAAATACAACGTGGCTCCTTGTACATTCATTTCACTCAAAGAAATGAGCATATTTGGGAGCATCTTTGGAACTACTGGCTCCAGAGAGGCTGTTTTGCTTGCCATTCCAGCTGGAGTCAAGCTGCTTGTGTTATGTCTCTCAACACAGATTTGTGAGGACAACAAATTGGGAAGAAATGTGGAAAAAAAGGTTACAGAGCTCAGAACTGTCAGAATTTGATCAGCCTATTCTAGTATGAAGTGGCAGCTGTTTGACTAATAGCTATTATGGAGAGGTTTTTTGCTGTGGTTGTTGTTACAGATTTCACCTCTAAGCTACTGAGACATTTTTCCCACCAGGAAAACAAGTAGAGAAATTGAAGATACTTAACAAATTGTTCATATTTAACATACATAGTCTCAGAAAATCTTGGTCATAACAATAGAATGAGCTAATTATGCAGATACGTTTCACTGTTAGTTTTACTGTTATTCAAATTGTCTGCAGTTTATCTACCAGTTGCATTTTATTGTAACATTAGTTTGTCAGTTCTCTGGGGTGGTTACCATCTTTGCTATAATCATTTACTCAGTTGTGGCACAGCAGAACTCTTACACTAAAAATTCTGTTTTCTGCTTTGAATTGCTATTTTAATTGACATTCACTTAAACATGCCTATACTTGTATAAAACTATTTCTTTAAAAAGGAACGTGCTTTCATTTAATCCTATTAATCTGCGTAGTTTCCCATTATTTCAGGTTTAATCAATGTGGTGTTGGAGGGTTTCTGACTGTTAAAGAAGAAATATAAAAATGTGTCCTTTTTTGACCTGCAGTATTTCAAAGCCAGTCATATTCACTTCAGTCCTTGACACACTTGTTTTTGTCTTTTAAGCTCTGTTGGCAATGTATTGCTATTTCTGAGATTCTTAGCCAGTTCAAAGATGTGACTCTAAACCATGTTGCCATAGTGTCACTGTTTGCTAAGTTGAAAATGAGATAGGGAAACAGTTAAGTTTTATTCACCAGAAGTGGGGATGGACCACCAGAATCGGCATTCCCATGTTTGAATTGGCAGCTGCTGACCTGTGCCTTTCCGTTTGTGAGATTTGCTTGTGTGATTTAAGTTGGGAATGTTAATTCTTAATTGCTGTGAAATTGCATGCTTTTCTTGAGTTTCAAGTTCAAAAACACTTCATTGAGGGGGTATTTGTAGATGTCTTGGAAGAAGGTGGTTGGACCTTAGCTAGCCAGACTCGGTAGATGTTTCAGGGACTCCAGCCTTCAATCTAGCTTTCAGTTATAAACATAGCTGCTTGTTTTTCCAGCCTCCATAACTTGCCAGGTTTGGAAAGGTTAGTTTCTTGTTAGTTGCCATTATACATTACAGGCATTAATAAACTTTTGAAATATTCTTTGTTTCTTTCAAGTTAACATCTTTATAGCTTAGGAAATGAAGCAGTGATCCGACTTCACACATTTGCTTTATGTTGTTGTTTTAACATACTATTCCTTGCAAATTTGATCCTCTGATTTAAAAACTAGTATAAGGTGTTACGCAAATAGGTGAGTTGATGTAGTTATGAACCCCATTACCAGAAGCCCCTTCTGTCCAGAAGAGTTGTGCATGTTTCTGAGTCACTAATGAGCACCAAAAAAATCAAACTACGAGTGCTTGAACGCATCGTTCCTTTTGTTGTTCTGTAATGAAGTGCATATATTGAAAACAGATTAAATGCTTTTATCTGGAATGTAAAATGTTATTTTTCTCTTTCATAAATGAAGAAGCAAACCCCCAACACTTGGTAGCCATGAGCTCTCCCTACATATACTTTCATCTATTTTTTAGTTTAAGTGGGTGTTTGGAATTGACAGTGAAGATTTCACTCTTGTCTGAGTTTACTGACTTCGCTGTTGAACACTGTGTCAGTTACTTGCTTCCCTTGTTTGCAGACACTCATGTACTTTTTTTTCAGTGACCTAACTGTGAGAAGGATCTAGGGTGATCTCCAGTGACTACAGAAATGCTAGATATGGAAAGGCACGTGTCTGCATTTGCTGAACAAATGCACCAAGGGGGGAGCTGCCTCAGCAGCAAAAATTTCTTGGTCAATTAATAGTGGTGCTGAATTAGAAGATTCCATTAAAAGATTGAAATTGATTTTATACTGATGGAAGGTACCAGTCATTTGGATGCATAAGAACACCACAGATATCCTCCCATGTAGACCTTTTTGTTACTGTGCTTAAGAAAGGTGCTCAATAAAGTCAG